ACACCTCTCTGTCTTCTAGCAACATGAACAATTCAATTCAGTTTATTTATATAGCGCCAATTCACTGCACATGTCATCTCAGGGCACTTTACAGTTCACCAGATCATACAATCAAATTGTTTCAAGGGTTTCTATCTAAGGAAAGCCAGTTGATTGCATCGACTCATTGACTCTTCAGCAAACCCTCACGCTATGCACGCGTGTAGCGACAGTAGAGAGGAAAAACTCCCTTTTAACAGGAAGAAACCTCCAGCAAAACACTGTGTTAACTGTTAGGATATCCAAGAACAGATTAGAACGGGTCTCTTTTTTTCTGGTGAAATGCTATCTCATTGACTCGATCACCAACAATTAGAGCTAAAAACAAGCATTTAGAATATTACCTGAAAATATTGTTTTCCTGTAATTTCATAAAGCAGCTCATGTGCTGCAGCTGGTAACCTGCTGTTGCCTTGCAGCAATGAAGTCGTGAGCTGGAATCCTGACCTGCTGTCTTTTTACTTAAAGCTGACATGTCTTTGTGTTCTCTCCATCTTCAGCTCCCCCCAGAGTCTGAAAACATGACTATCATGCTAACTCTAATACTGCCTTATTTAATTCAAACCGGTTCATTTGTATAGCCAGTTAACAGCAAATGTCATCCCAAGGCACTTCACAGAGACAATTTCATCAACTCATACAGTCAGATCAGTTAAGTTTTCTATCTAAGGAAAAGCAGCTGATTCCATCAACTTGTTGACCTTGCAAAATTTTTTCCTCCTGGATGAGCTTGTAGAGACAGTAAGCATTAGTTGCATTGTGTTGTTGATTCTGCAGCAATCCCTCACACAGAGCAGGCCTACTATGCAAGTGGAAAAGAAAAACTCCCTTTTAACAGGAAAAACCCTCCTCCAGAAACCGCCTCAGTGAAAGCTGCCTCCTGCCGAACAGAATATAGAAGCACGTGATCCATTATCACTTTTCATCTTAGAAAAAGGTCATGTAAACTAGCTCTTCTTTTTGGGTCTGTGAAGGAAACCAATCGTTAAGCAGATTAGCTTTGAGAACATTTTCATTTCAAAAGAAATGAAAGACAGCAAATACAGTTAATCACAGAAAAGGTTATTTTTTTCCCCCAGCTTTTATTGTCATTACACTGTCACAAGTACAGAGCAACAACATGAACCCATTTAACCCATCCCTTTGAGGAGCAGTGGGCTGCCACTGAGTAGTGCCAAGGGAGCAGTGTGGGATTAAGGGTCTTTGCTCAGGGAGCGAGAGTGGCTATCTGTGGGGCTCGAACTCAGAACCTTGGGATTCTAAGCTCTATGACCTAGCCACTAGGCCGCCCCTCCCCTTAAGATTTAGAAACGTGAAGACACCTTTCCAGGGTGTCCCCTCTCTCCTCTCCAATGAATGCTTGAAATGGGCTCCAGCTCCCCCCAAAGACACTGCATGGAAAAGCTGGATGGGTGGAAAAGTACATATCACTAAGCTGACATTTAATCAGAAAAATATATAGCAGCAGCTCATCTTTTTAGCCTCTAGATGACTACCTGCTGAAGTCTAAACCAATACTTATTAATTCCAGATTGGCTGATCTGAGTATTTTACAAACTGTTTCCCGGTATTGATCAAGCTCAATCAATAGAGAAGGAGAAGCCATAAAAGCTCTGGGCTTGAAATAAAATGTTGTCAGTGCTGGGCTGCACGGAGGATGGACAGTAGGAAAAAGCAGGAAAAACAGTGGTTAAGTCCACTTTTTGAAGAAGGAATTTTAGAGATGAGGGATAGACTGGGCCCCTAAATCAGGAGTGTCAGACTGGTTCCAGAAACGGCCGTTTGGCTGCAGATTTTCTTTCCAACCAAACAACAGCAGACCAGACTCCATTCATCTCATCAAGTGAGTCCAATCTGAGCATCATGACTTGATGAGATGAATGGAGTCTGGTCTGCTGTTGTTTGGTTGGAAGGAGAACCTGCAGCCACACGGCCTTTCTAGAACCAGTTTGACACCCCTGCCCTAAATGTTTCAATATTATCTGATTATCTAACGTATAAAAAAATGTGCATCAGCCAGACAGTTATATTAGGTCAAAGCAAACCAAGTGCCCCATTTAGCCTCCCACTGCTCGACTGGATCTGGTGCAGCTGAAAGCGATATATTATACCAATGCTTTGGCCACAAATAAGTATGCCGTGGAAATTGATTAGCATTTCATCATCAAATGTATTTTGTGGGCACAATTTAATGTTTCTTGCACAGATATTAGTGTTTCTCAGCCATAGAAAGGTATTTTGTTGCTGGAAATTAAGGTTTTGTGGGAACAAATTGAAATTTTGTGCACACACCATATATCTTTTTTTTTTTCCGGTTGTGTTAATAATCCGGGTCTGTACCCAAACCCCGTTCCCCTTTTTTCAGTTTTCCTGAGACCTCTCAAAGTCTGGTATTTGAAATGACCGCCGTAAATTATCGAAATCTGACCACCTAAAGGGCTGTTGCACAGATGTCAATTAACAATGCTTTTATTTATACATTGATTAGGTAAATTACTGATTCAATATCCCTAAATGAAAATAAATTATTTCATTTAAACTTTGAAAACAGTATGACAGCTCTTAATGAGCAAAAATATGTGCATTGGACGCTGGTATATATATATATATATATATATATATATATATATATATATATATATATATATATATATATATATATATATATATATATATATATATGTATATATATATTGCCCTTTTTGCAGTTTATTTCAAGTAAACTGTTCCAAATGTAGCTTCTTTTACATTCATCGTTGATTCTCAAAATGTTTCTTTTATATTCCTTATACACACAACTATGTGCTCAGAACAAAGAAGAAACCAAAGACCAACACCTGAGATTTGCATATTTTCTTGGTACATGCTAGGATTTTCCTGTTACCTCAAAAAAAAAAAAAAAAAAGACCCATCCAGTAAACCGGTGGTGGTGAATTAGCATAATATGTCAGAAATATTATACAAGTTTTTTCTGCTTTTTTAAAATTTTTATTTTTATTATTATTATTTTTTAAACTTTTTTAATGCTTAATCCCGCCTCCAGGGTGAACTTCGCCTCTGACTTTTTATGGATGAGATGGACCCCAGCTTCCACTTTTAAATCTCTTTTACTTTCAAGAGTCATTGTCACTATCTTTTTTTGGTAGGAGAAATTGTAATACAATCTCATGTCATCTCTAGAATATGAACAGGTCCCTTTCTGCAAAATACATGTATTAAATGACTGTTGCCTGGAATTTCCATGTGGTTACATCCATTTGATGAGAAAAAAAAAACAATGAGTGTAAAACAACAAAAAACTACTGCTGTCGCATTACAAGCAGAACAGCTTAGCCACAAATCCACCCACGTCTGCACACAAGGTGTTTCCATCTGTGTTACTTGATCTGTTGGCTCTTCTGAAGTTAGAGACATCAAGGGACTGTGGTTTCATTTTTTTTTTTTTTTTGCCTCTGTGTTGTAGAAGCCTTTGTTTGGATGTTTCATGACCTAATTTTGGTATTATCCTTTTAACTGCTGTTACCTTTCAATTATATCCCAACCCATAGTTATTGTAGTTAAAACATTTAATGTATATGTATCCTGTGCTATCTCTATAGTTATATAGGCTTAGACTTCTGGAGGACATAGGGCCCCCCATTTAATCATTTTGCCTCATTCTATCTCTATTCTCCCTCTCTATAGCATCTATTAGTTCAATCTCTTCTTTTTTCTCATATTAGCTTCACCTCATCTGCTCCTGTTTGGCTGTGACACCATCCTGGAGAGAAATATCAGCTGTGCTGCTGGCATTAACACCTTTTTTTTAATAGAAGTTCGAGATCGGCCTGTTTTCCAGTGTAGTCCTGTTTCTCTGACTGTGACTGGCTGGATTTGCTCTCTTCATCCTCTGACATGGGAGCTGCTTGGAGCTCGTCTGCCTGGCTGTGTATTTCATGGACGGGGCCGCCCTTTACAGCTGCTTTTTGTATCTCTGCTTCTGTCTCCTTGAACCCCAGTTGACCTCAGCAGATGGCCGCTCACACTGAGCCTGGTTCTGCTGGAGGTTTCTTCCTGTTAAAAGGGAGTTTTTCCTCTCCACTGTTGCTACAAGCATGCTTAATGTGAGGGATTGCATTTGAGTCCACGAGTCAATGCAATCAACTGGTTTTCCTTAGATAGAAAACTTTGAATCAATTTGACTGTATGATCTGGTTGAACTGTAAAGTGCCTTGAGATGACATGTGTTGTGAATTGGCGCTATAGAAATAAACTGAATTGAATTATTTTGCAATTAAATCAAGTTAATTTTTTGAGGAGATATTGAAAGAGCTACCTATTTTACTGTATCTCCCTAAAAGTGATAACATCAATTCACAAGCACTAACCAGGCTGCAAAAACTGCTCAACAAATGAAAAAGGATGTAAATAAATGACATTTTTATCCTGAGGTACTTATAGCTACCCTCATCTGGAGTTTATAAACCAATAAACAAGTTGTCTTTTGGGAAAATCGAATCTCAACATCGGAACACCACCTCTGGTAAATTTTTATTAAACTGGGTTAATAAAAAAAACCAACAGATTAATAGACATTTTTGCCTAAAGATCAATCATGCCGTATTATCTGACGGTGAAGAAGCAATGTGAAGCAAAAGGACCAAGGACCTTATAAGGGGATTACAATCATCAAGCAAAGATTATGTTTTTGTTTTTATTTATGGTGAGACAATTCTCTGTTAGACAGTTTGCTACAAAGCTCAGGGTAACCTAAATCACTCACAACCTCTTTCAAAAAGATTATATTTTATATAAATTTGAAAATGCCTTTAAAGAATTATGGGTTATGACGTGTTTGAAAGCATTACACAACATATTGTCAGGAGTCTTCTGCTTGTTTCTGCTTTCTTGCACCCTCCAGTACAAGAACACTAAGGAAAGGGGAACAGACGGCAGCAGAGAAAGGAAGTTGTCCCTACATTGCTGTTTCAATCTATCAGATTAATTCTTTTACTTATGTTTGCATCTATTTTCAGAAATGGACCTGAGTTCATTATGCAAAATCCTTCCGTTGCTCCTCTGGATTTTAGGGATCTGTGCAGGACCTGCAAAGGCTGAATTTATAAAAGGTTTGTTTTGTTTTTTAATTGTTTTGTTTTTGTTTACATATCGACCCAAAACTGAGATACTTGTGTTAGGATTATTTTCATTGATGATGTGTGAGTGTTAAACCCTAATAACACACCTGCCTGTTTTGTCAGAGCTAAAGTTTTCCCAAGGAATTGATCTAATTAAGACAGTTTTTCTTTCAGGATAAAAAAATCCTCTTCATTATGTATGTGGCAAAGATTTGGGAATGGAATGAGAGCGGTGTCTTGATCTAAGAACAAAGTGTAATATTTTGATAAGGTTGGAGCCTTACAAGCGTGTATGATGTAATGTGATAATGTGGCATACTGGAGTATTATAAAATGCTTCTTTAACTGTGATTCGAGGCCACTTGGAACCCAGTTGGTAAGCGCTACATTCTGTAACCCTAAGCAACTTCTCTGGTCTAAATAAGATTACAATTTATGTCAAAATCTGCTGTCATATCTCATGGTTGTTTAATACATTTACATTATGAAGTATTATGTAAAGGGTTTTCCCCAAATGATCTCTTCTCAGGAAATGAACTGGAGAGAGAAAGTGTAAACTTCAAGGTGTAAACGCAGAACTTTCCTTTACACCGGTGTTTACGAATAAACTTACAAGTGTAATATTTCTAAGGTTTTTGAAATGTTACTTTTTTTTTTTCTGCAGCCACTAGTCCTGTGCTAGAATTTTGCTGCCACCTTGGGGACAAAATGCAACACTAAAAACAAAAACAAGTAAATTACTGTACTAATATTTTTTTATAGTAACAATCTATGATACATTTTATTAAAACAGGGTATGTTAAAAACAACGTATGCCCTTCTCAGTAACATACAGAGAAATTTGTATAGTCTTTTGCGTATACGCTGTCCAGTATGCATGTTTCCCCTAGTATTTTGGTTATTTACGTTGATGACTGATCTTTGCGGTTGGAAGGCCTCCTTTACATGACATAATCTTTTGCTCCTTCCAAAGATTCTCATTCTCAGATTTCATTTCAGATTCTTAAATCCCTTTCTTAAAGCCATACCCGAATATATTATTATTATTTCTCTTTAATCTTCATTTTTATTTGCTGTACCTTACAATAAAATTTGCCCCTGCACTTTACCCAGCCGCTTGGGGAGCAGTGGGCTACTATTGTGCAGCACAGATGAAGCATTTTTGTTCTAAGGGTTTTGATTGAGGGCCCCAAATGGTCTCTATTGGATAAGGACCAAGGGACTTGCAGCCTTGTGAAGATGCAAGCACCCTGCTATTGGCCGACAACATCCGCAGTCAAGGCAACTGCAGCACTGCTTTCAATTGAAGGTGACAAAGGATGAATGTGGTCCCTTGCACACTAAAAATGACAAGTGTTTTTTTTTTTAGGTTTAAAATATTATTTGATGAAGTGATGAGGGACTTGTTTGAATCATCCATGAGAACTCTTTCAGGCTATTTGTTCACTTTTTACGAAGGACATTGTCCCATTTAGTTTGCAGCAGAAGAGATATATTGTTTAAATGCATCAAAATGTTTTAAATAAGAGAGACGAAAGCGGAGTAACTGAAGATATTTTCTTTTTTTAATGATTTTTTTGTTGCAGAGAACTGCACCAACTACAAGCTCCAGTTTGAAAGAGTGTTCTCTGTTCCCGGGGACGTGGCCATGCTGAACAGCACCCTGTTGTCTCCAGATGTCTTTAACTTCACCACCACCCCATTCAACATCACCTGGTTCAGCACAAAGAGCGGACAAGAAATGAGAAATGTGACCGGTCAAGTTCTGGTTCTCAGGGAAACTCTATGGTTCCTTAACACAACTATGGATGATGATGGAGAATACTTAACTGTACTGAGGTAAGATGCTAAAAGGAAAATAACTTTCGAACTTAAAAAAAAAAAAAAAAAAAACTTTAAAAAGATAACTTTTTTGCCTTTTATTCAAAAAATATATTGAAAACTGATATTCAATTCAAGGTAATTTAAAAGTAACACGGATATTAAGATATTAAAACAACTGGATCGGGTCACAATTTAAAGCTTAGAAATTCAAATGAGCTTATATGGATTTGTTGCTCCGCCCAGTGTTTCTACTTTAAAAATTGCAAACCCAAAGAAAGTGTGTTTTTAAAAAGTCCATACCTTACACACATACTGCAGTTCATTGGTACATAATGTGGTTGTTACTTTACTTGTTATCTACCGTATTTTCACGACCATAAGGTGCACCGTACTAAAAGGCGCAGTCTCAGTTATGTGTGCCATTTCTGTATTTAACACACACATAAGGCGCACCGGACTATAGGGCGCGTTTTTTATATACCGGTACATGTCCTCTTCTACCTTTAAATACCTCTACTGCATATTTAAAAATACAGCGGGAGCAAAACTGAGTATGACTGTGCTTTATTCATGTATTTATTACAAAGTATTAATCAAACCTGGCAGCTGGCCATGAGACAGACACATCGCAGATGACAGGGCGCTGTGGTCACTCCTAAATTAACTTAAAATACTGAAACCTGCCGACGGAATATGTTCGCTTTTATTACCGGTATCCTGGTGCCTGCAGTTTAAATTATTTAGATGAAAACACCTGCCAGCCGCCGCGGTGAACCCGGAGGCGACCAGGCCCAGAGGCTGCGGATGAAGGGATTTCTGCTGTCGGCGCACCGCTGGTATGTGGGGGTCTGAGCGCCTCTGACAGAAATAGATAATCTGGATGAACTGACTGCAATTATTACGTTTTCAGGTGGACTTTCTCACTTAAAAACATATTAAAACTACTTTATTCCCACTGATCACAGCAAATATAGCTGCAAGATTTAGATTATTTAGATGAAAAAACACCTGCCAGCAGCCGAGGTGAAACTGGAGGAGACCCGCCCAGAGGCTGCTGTTGAATTAAGTTTTCAGGTAGAAAAATAGAGCGGGAGCAAAACTGAGCATGATTGTGCTTTATTCAAGTATTTATTACAAAGTATTAATCAAACCCATCAAAGTCATCATCCTCTGTTTCTGAATTAAACAGCTGCGCTAAATCAGAAATGCCAATTTCCCCTTCTTCGCTGTCAGAGTCACTTTCCGTGCAGCGCGGCTCCTCAGAAATAATGCCGGCTTTTGCGAAAGCTTGAACAACAGAGCCAGCAGACACTTTAGTCCAAGCATCTACAATCCATCCGCAAACGGTGGCGTAACTTGCCCGGCGCTGCCTTCCACTTATCGTGAAACTGTGCTCTCCGTCTGTCATCCATCGCTCCCACGCCGCTCGCAGCCTTACTTTGAACGGCCGGTTCACAGCGATGTCGAGCGGTGGAAGTTCCTTTGTCAGACCCCCGAGATAACGGCAAGCACAGCGTTTATTTTTTTTCACCATGTTTTTCACATCAGCTGTGAGATGGGCACGCATGGAGTCACATATTAAAAGCGATGGTGATGCGTGGAAAAAACCACCTGGTCTCCTCACATACACCTGCCTCAGCCATGCTTTCATCATCTCCTCATCCATCCAGCCCTTTCATTTGCTTTAAAATCATATGTCATCAGAGCGATGTGTCTGTCTCGCTGTCAGCTCCCAGATCAGCTTCTCTGATTCGTTGATGCGGCGCGTCCAGCAGCAAAACTTCAATTTTTCCATCTCGAGCAGCAGCAGCGCGTTGGTGGCGCGCTCCCGACGCGCTGCGCCTGCTGCTCAAAACGCGCTGCGGGACCTTTTGCTGCGTCTATACGCTCGTCAACCGTTGACTTTGCATGTAAACTCGCTGCTTCTGCTGCACCTGCTGCGTCCGGTTCACAGCGAGCACAGCATTAATATGTTTCACCATGTTTTTCACATCAGCTGTGAGATGGGCACGCATGGAGTCAGATTAACAGCGATGGTGATGAGTGGAAAAAAACCCACCTGGTCTCCTTACATTCACCTCCCTCAGCCACTCTTTCATCATCTCCTCAATGAGGTGGTCTCAAAAGTCGCAGTTACAACACACATAGGGCGCACCGCACCAAAGGGCGCACCGCACATTTTGAGGGAAAAAAAGACGTTTATGTGCGCCTTATAGTCGTGAAAATACGGTACATGTCTTAACTAATTAATCAAGCTCTGGATTGTAATGTTCCTCATAATGTCAGATATTTTGCCCAGATTAAGTTTTTCCAGGTCGGTGGCATTACCCTGGTGTACTAATGTACCAATCTGCAGACATCTCTGTTAGAATCAGTCACAAAGCCAAAACGTTTTCCAAGGGGTGGCCAGGCAGGGACCAATATGCACTGGGGGGACACAAACTGATTAGTGCCAAACCAGTTCAGGGGGCTCCAAAATAAAGAAGTCAAACAGTAATATTTTTTTAAATAAATCACTGAGGATCAGATTTCCATGAAGTCTCATAGCATAGACAAGTAGGTCTGCAAGCTGTTGCACTGGACTTACTAATGGTTTTTAAGGTCCTTTACAACAGTTCTTAATGTTTGTCAAAATGTTGTATTGTATTTAAATTACTGGTGAGCAGAGATACATTTTTTATTCTGGATTAATCTCATTGTGACTTTAGAATTATTCTCAATTAATCTAGATTAAAATCACTCATTTGAATTCTGCCCAAGGCATTTATGATATGTGTGCTACCTCCAGAATTTAAAAGAAAAGGTTTACTTTTTTATGTTTGCAAAATCATATCATTTTGCCTTCTTACATAAGATTTTGACAAAGTTATAAATACTTTTTTTGCTCATTTTTTTTTACCGTGTTTTTGCTGAAAAAAATAGTGTCCCACTTCCAATATACTGTATGAGTATCCTACTTTAACGATATAGTGTCTCCAAAAATCTGACTTAAGAGACAACAGCGTTTGAAGATAATCTAAAATCTGTGTTTAGAATGTCTGTTGTGATGTGAAGATTCTGAGGTTTTTATGTATATATCATGACTCTAGCTCTAGAAATTAAATAGGCTAAATAAATACCACAGAAGCTACATTTCAAGTATCACACTTTACCCACATTCACCAAAGCTATCATCAAGAAGCAAACATACACCGCTCTTTTTTCTCCTCTTTCTTTCATCTTTTCTCTTTTTTCCTGTTTTTCTTTTCCTGTTCTACTTACATTGAAGTGTCCATACAATCTGCAATACTCCCCTTTTTTGGCACCAAGACAATTATTCTTATTGCCACATTGCCAGACAGGACACTGTTAAAAACTGGAGTGACCCCCTCTTGCATATTTTTTTACTCAGACACCATCCTTTCACTGATTTACATGGTCTGACCAGGAGATGATGCTTCTCTTTAGATCTTAATGTCCACAAATCATGATAGAAAGAATATTTTAGGAATAGTAGGGGACCAGTCTACTACTGTGTTGTTGTGGTAGTCATTCGTGGTGTCGTGGTAAAATAACATTTGAAATTACATAACATAGCATACCTAAAGCAGAGGAAGCTGGTTTTGACAAGGTGTACAGAAATGGAGAGGTGGTTATCATTATTGACAGATGTCCAGTTGTCCATCGTCAGTGGTGCACACGTTGCCTCAATTAACTTCTCATCTTTCACGGCTTTCTCCACGGCGTGCTGGTCATGTATTCTCCTCATGATAGTTCTCCTCGCAGGTAGTTTGTAAGATAGGTTCATCTCTTAACGCTGATAATGGCCCACCACTAATTTAAATCTACTTAAAATCTCCACAACAGAAAGAATGTTTAGAGAAACTATCAATTCAGTATGTAGTTCATTATTAAGAATTAAAAAAATGTATTCTATACAATTTTTTTTTTTTTTTTGCAACCTGAAAAAAATTGAGAAAAAAAGTGATTCAAGTGATGCAAGTGATGCATAAAAAATTATGCATCACTTTTTTTATTAGATTATTTCACAAAAAAGGTCTTTGAAGAAAAATAATATTTTTTGACCCCTTCTATGAACATAAATGATAAGATATAATAAATGATAAGATATAATGCTAGATAGAATGCTATAGAAGATAACATCACAGTTATGAAGTTTACCTCGACAAGAGTAAGGTCACACTTAAAAATACTTTCTGCTTTTGACAAAAGTTGAAAATTATAAATCTGATTAGTTTTCAAAAGACATTAATACTCTTCGGACTGGTTTAAATTATTAAGACTATTTTTCCCCACAAAATCTGTGGGGAAAAAATCAATAAAAAGTCAATAGAGAAGATCAGGTCACTTCTTCTGTGAGGATATTTTATTCTGACTGCATGCAAAAGTAAGCTAAAGAAAGAGCTGTGTTTTCTACAATGTAACACTGTGGTGTCTCACCTTTTCCAACCATTTCTCAGAAAAGGGTTGAATAGCATTAAAGAAAAAAAATGCAATGCTTCCCGAAGCATCTTTCTAACACCAGCTACTAGACTGATTGACTTTTAAAATAAGCATGTTAAAATTTTTACATGTGCTAATTACATACTGTATTGTTTTTCCTTGCAGGACTCCTTCTCAGTGCTTCATGCAGTCCACTAAACTGGTGGTAAATATGCCAGTTGCTGGAGAGTGTGGAAGGCCACAAAAAGTCGAACAAGTGCTCAACAAAGGTGTGGCAGACATCGTGAAATGCAATCTATGGGACTATCTGTATAAACTGGACAATTACGGCATCATCTACTCTGTCACTTGGTATAAGGTATGTCACCTTTTATTTTTCTTGTTGTCAAACTCAATTTGAGTTTAGAAAAGGCTTGTTTTCTCACATTTTTAAATAGTAACTAAAAAAAAACATTCTTTGCGTTAGTCAGAAAAACTTCCAGAGAATTTTAAATGTTTTTAACTTAGATGATACTGTATGATAAATCAGTCTACTGTAAATGATTTCACTACCAAAGTATACTATAAGTACAGCGTTAATCCATTTTAGTACAATGTTTAACAAAATGTGCATTACGGAACAAAAAATAACAATACAGAGAGGTTTCACAATATTACGGAAGCTGAGAGTGGTTATACTCGACTGTTTTTTTCCCTTACCTTCTCAAGATAACAACATAACTATCTCGCTATCACGAGAAAACAGTCACTGATTTCTTGAGGTAAGGAGATTATTACCTTGTATGAGTAATGAATGAGGCTGCCCAACAGTTGGATTCCCAGTCCATCCATTACTGCTGTACCAGTAGTTGTGCATTTGTGATACCGTGTGTGCACAAATAATAATTTTTTTGTTTCCTATTTCTTTTCACTCATTTTTAGGCCATGGTGGATGGTTGGATTGCATGGAATACAGTAGAAACAAATCTGACTGTTTTTTTAATGAAAATATTTAATCTGGACTCAACTTGGGCGTTAATGCATCTTATACCTGTCACAAACGTAACAGGAAAACAGGAAAACACGGACGCTAAAGGCACCCGAGGCATGGGTCTAATTGCTTATGAATCAGAAGTGGAACAGAATTACACATAGGATGCAATGAATTATACTTATAAATCCTCTCCCGCTGTTGTGGTTTTGAAGGATGTAATCAGTTTTAACACACACCAATCATCTCGTTAGGATGAGAAAGTGGCTTTCGTTTTCTTTAGATAATGAGAAAATTAACTGGTTTTCTCAAGAAAAGCACCCTGAAAAACTATCGGAGGGATATGGCCACTCTTGGCTTCCATATTATATTAGTGATTCTGAACAAAACATCTGGACATTGGTGTCGTTTCCCGCATTGTTTTATCAATGCTACCAATTGGAAGCTACGTTTTCTCCTCTCAGGAGAAAATGGCTAATATTCCAGAAAACAGTGGTGAGTAGTTTGTGGCAGGGTATCTAAAATTTTATGGGTTTTTTTATATATTGAAAATATTCCCAAAACTATTTAGTTTTCCCCAATAGATTAAGCATGATGTGATTCAGAATCACGGTGGGGAAAATTCATTTCCTGTTATGCATTGTGTGTAAACGTCTGTTTTCCATTGTGCATGAGAGATGTCTTCAACAGTCAGTTAACCTACAGGTGCTGGTCATAAAATTAGAATATCATGAAAAAGTAGATTGATTTCAGTAATTCCATTTAAAAAGTGAAACTTGTATATTATATTCATACATTACATACAAACTCATATATTTCAGATGTTTATTTTGTTTAATTTTGATGATTACAAATGACAACAAATGAAAATCTCAAATTCATCATATCAGAAAATTAGAATATTACTGAAGACCAATAAAAACAAAGGATTTATAGAAATGTTGGCCAACTGAAAAGTATGAACATGAAAAGTATGAGCATGTACAGCACTCAGTATTTAGTTGGGCCTCCTTTGGCCTGTATTACTGCAGCAATGCGGCGTGGCATGGAGTCGATCAGTCTGTGGCACTGCTCAGGTGTTATGATAGCCCAGGTTGCTCTAATAGTGGCTTTTAGCTCTTCTGAATTGTTGGGTCTGGTGTATTGCATCTTCTTCTTCACAATACCCCATAGATTTTCTATGGGGTTAAGGTCAGGAGAGTTTGCTGGCCAATTAAGAACAGGGATACCATGGTCCTTCAACCAGGTACTGGTAGCTTTGGCACTGTGTGCAGGTGCCAAGTCCTGTTGGAAAATGAACTCTGCATCTCCAAAAAGTTGGTCAGCTGCAGGAAGCATGAAGTGCTCTAAAACTTCCTGGTATGTGGCTGCGTTGACCCTGGACCTCAGAAAACACAATGGACCAACACCAGCAGATGACATGGCACCCCAAACCATCACTGACTGTGGAAACTTTACACTGGACTTCAAGCAACGTGGATGAAGTGCCTCTCTTCTTTTCCTCCAGACTCTGGGACCTTGATTTCCAAAGGAAATGCAAAATTTACTTTCATCAGAGAACATGACTTTGGACCACTCACCAGCAGTCCAGTCCTGTTTCTCTTTAGACGCTTCTGACGCTGTCTGTGGTTCAAGAGTGGCTTGACACAAGGAATGCGACAGCAGAAACCCATGTCTTTCATACGTCTGTGTGTGGTGGTTCTTGAAGCACTCACTCCAGCTGCAGTCCACTCTTTGTGAATCTCCCCCACATTTTTGAAGGGGTTTTGTTTCACAATCCTCTCCAGGGTGCGGTTATCTCTCTTGCTTGTACACTTTTTTCGACCACATCTTTTCCTTCCCTTCGCCTCTCTATTAATGTGCTTGGACACTGAGCTCTGTGAACAGCCAGCCTTTTTAGCGATGACCTTTTGTGTCTTGCCCTCCTTGTGCAAGGTGTCGATGGTCGTCTTTTGGACAACTGTCAAGTCAGCAGTCTTCCCCATGATTGTGTAGCCTATAGAACTAGACTGAAAGACCATTTAAAGGCTTTTGCAGGTGGTTTGAGTTAATTAGCTGATTAGAGTGTGGCACCAGGGGCCATCAATTTTGAACCTTTTCACAATATTCTAATTTTCTGATATGATGAATTTGAGATTTTCATTTGTTGTCATTTGTAATCATCAAAATTAAACAAAATAAACATCTGAAATATATGAGTTTGTATGTAATGTATGAATATAATATACAAGTTTCACTTTTTAAATGGAATTACTGAAATCAATCTACTTTTTCATGATATTCTAATTTTATGACCAGCACCTGTATTTGTCAGGGTCTCCGCCAAGTAAAGCTATTGCTTTAGAAATAAAATATACAAATGAGTCAAGAAAAAGGCATGAAGAATGTTGTCAGCTCTCAATGTTGAGGATCTTCTAAGTGAATGCTGAAGACTAAACTATTCTTTATCCCAACAGGGCTGTGACCCCATACTGGATGAACCCGGAAAGTACACCTCCCGGGGCAGGAATATGCTAAACATTAACAGAGTGGAAAATGAAAACAGTGGAACATATACCTGTACCCTGATGTTTACCCTTGATGGCGTAAACGTATCTGTATCAGAAACCCGTGATGTAACAGTCAAAGGTCAGATGGGATCGAAATTGTATTATTTTTTACACATAAAGGCATAAAGGATTTTCACAGCAACTTTTAAAATATCCATTGGGGTTTTCTGAATACATAAGGGAAATATGTAAAATTACAGCAGAGGTGTCAAGTAACGAAGTACAAATACAAATACTAGTTTCTACATGTAATTGAAACTAAAGAAGATTTTTAAGAAAATAATTTCCAATTTGGTTGCAATCAAGTCTTTTTTTATCTTATTGTGACAAATAGACCTCTGAGGTACTGTAAGTAATAGGTTCATAGGAATCCAAGCCAGAAGAGGTACCATAGGGAAACCCAGCAGGAGTCCAAGGACAGGTCAGGCAAACAGATCAGAATAGGAACAGGCAGGCTATGCGGTCCAAAGGCAAAAATGGGTCAGGATCAAGCAATCAGAACACAAACAGGTACACTATAGAACTCTCACCAGAGGCTTGAGTAATCTGGCACTGATGAATGGGGGCAAGCAGCTTAAATAGGCAGGTAACACGGATGAATGGTGATGAGACACTGGGTGGAGCTGGACAGGTGCATCGAATAGTAAATTAAGCCAGTCATCGGTGCCAAGACAATCAATCTCAACAGCTGAAACAACATGAAAAGATTCATTGTCTTTTGATCAAACTGAAAAAAGACCAAATAACAGAACAAAATCAATATTCCTTATACTTTGTTTTTTTTTCTACTTTTAGATGACTACTTCCTGTTTCCCCAAGTTCATGAACCAGCAAATGAAGCTATCAAGGCAGTGAAAGGTAAAACTTAAAAAAAAAAAGTAACGCTTTTTTTATTTTTCTGTAAAAAAACATTGTTGGTCTGTTTGACTTATTTATACTTACAGTATAACAGATGGAAGGTAGGTTTCTACTTCACGGATTTCACCAATTGCGGGTTCTTTTTGGAACGTAACCCCCGCGATAAACGAGGGTTCACTGTATTTAAAATGGGAATGCTCCGGATTAGCTAACTGACTTTTAGGTCGATCAAAGCCATCCCTGACAACAGCTTAGAAACGCCACTATTCATCGCGGCAGCAAGCAGCATTGTTGCATAATGTTCCAAAAAAGCCTGGGGGGTTGGGTCAAACAAAGCGGAGTAAGCTAAAACATCATTGCCTTTCATGCTTGTTGTATCAGGCATCATAGCGTCTTTTTCCAGATCAAACTGAGAATTTTACCAGCTAGATAATAATAATAATAATAATGATAATAATAATGATAATAATAAAAATAACAAAAATAGTATAACAATACGCCTAGTATTATCAGAGTAAGATATTGAGGCTGTAGAATGATAATCCCTATGGTCTAATGTAATTCCTTGGAAAGGTGGAGCGCACATCAGCTGATCTAAATAAAAGAAAGACGCCATAAAGTCAAACAGCATAATAGGCTAGTATCCATAAAATATATAAATAAGTTAAATATGTTATTGTACAATTTTTGATATCATAGGCCATCAAGTGATTAAAAAAATAGAAAAACATTTAAGGCAACAATAATAAACTCAGCCACAGCTGGGACCGATCCCTCAACCTTTTGAACTGTTGACCATTCACCCTACCCTCTACGCTAAAGCTGGGGAACAATAGTCTGCTCAGCTTGCAACACATAAAAACCCCTCCCAGTCTGCTCATTGAGCTATCTAATCCTGACCCATGGGACGCCGAAATGGACTCAGACTGCCACCTAGTGGCTATAGTAGTCACATGTTTTTCACGCAATTCGTGAAACACGAGGAGCGTGAGTAAATTGTCCATTTCCAACCAGCACCCACTGTAGGTCACAACACACATTGTCAAACCTGTAATACCAAATAGCTCATCATAAAGCGGATTCTCAGATTTATGTTACTAATGCAGCTCTTTTATCAGAGTGATGATTTTATTTTACTTATAAATATACTTTATGGTATTTTAACGTCAAATTTGTAACTTTGCTCTTTTCAAGCATTTCTCCTGAAAAAGAACTAAATAATTTTTCTCTCAAATCAATCCTGATTGAAATAGCCTGCCTTTATAACATTATTTTCCTCCATAAAATCCCAAACTTAAATAACTGCAAAGACAGCTAATGTGTGACAATATTTTGCACAAAAGACATTCTCCATTTCCAAAATCCACTAAAATTAAGCTTAAGCTGACACTATCCAAATGTAGTCTTATAGAGTATGTTGCTCAAATATTTCTAGAGCATCTCTTATAAATGCGTAAGTAAATTATGATTATTTATTTTAATATACATGAGGTAATCTCGTTAGGTTGAATACATTTTCCCCTGCTTTTAAGCACTTTGAATTTGTTATGTTGGGGTCGAGTCTCCTAACCCACATGAAGAAAGTTCTCCAGAGAGAGAAAATTCAATAGTGAGATTTATTGACAATTAATTCAAACAAAGAGTAATGGAATCCTTGGTGCGTCTTATTGATCTCAGGAGGTAACTAGGGGAGGACAGAAATGATTAGTCAGGATCCAGGAAAGTTGCTGTTTGGTGGAAATTTGGGATTAATACCTGTTCGGGGGTGTTTCAGACCGGGGGGGGGGGGGGGGGGGGGCTTGAGGGTCTAGAGGCCGGTTGGCAGGTTGAGGGCTGAGGTCAGAGGCGGCGGCGGAGGGTGGACAGGTAAGACTCCAGACAGCGAGGGTTCCATCTTGAGGGTTGGTTGATCTCCAGATAATTCAGGATCTGAGTAGCTGAAAACACAGAGACAAGGGGATTCAGAATCAGGGAACTGATCCAGGTTAAAGCAGCTCAAAGTTAGCCGGTACCGTTACTGGCAACACTCTGGCAGAGAAGTGTCAGCATCCTCCTCCATTTATACGCCTCCAAATGAGAAGATAGAGAACAGGTGTGCAGACGTCGACTCATGCCCTCAGGAGGAAGGTCTCAGGCTCCCTCTGGTGGAGAAAAGTTACCAAACCTCTGGATCCCAACAGAATTTCCTATACAGAGTAATACATATTCATAGTTACTAAACAAAAGAAACAACTACGTCAAGTGAACCCTCCGAGGCGATTAGGTAAAACTTTACCTAACACTTCCCAAAGTTTGGTTTAAGCCAATCAAAGTAATAAAAGAAATTGTCAGTAGCAACATAGTAGTACTAACATTCAGATAATCTACATCTGTGTCCTCCTATGCTGTGCTGTTTATTTTGGTTTCGGTTCTGGGCTTAGCAACTTTGTCAGAGCTATATGTCCTGCCTTAAACCTTAATACCGCATTATTGGGTGACCTGTTTTGGGATGGTCTAAAACTGTTTAAGCTGAAACGGTACAAAAACTGATTATGGTGTTTTTGCGAACGCAAAAACAATTCAGTTTGAATGCAATGTCACACCAAATATATTAAGGCTTAAATGTTCTTTATTTGTTTTCTGCTTTTAGGGTTGAACTTCAACCAGAGGTGTTTAGTATTTATACCAGGAGTTGGAATACCATTCGTTGATGTCTATTGGGTTGTCAACAATACACCCTTTTCCTACAAGTCATCTGAACGAATCTACATGTCGGAGACGCGGTTTGTAATTTTAAATTCTCTTTTGCTCTTTCAAACTACCACATTTAAAATTGTGAAACAACATTACGGAACCTCTACTTGGTTTGATTTTACAGTTTGTGGACTCAAGATGAACCAGAGGGTGTGTGGTTAGAAAGTCTGCTACTGTTCTCTGAAGTGAGGGAGGAGGATTTCTACCTCAATTATACCTGTCGAGCCCAAAGTTCCCGAGGCTCTCCTGAAGGATACTTCACTTTGTTACCAACAGGTAAAGCTATTGAGCATGAATCGTTACGCTATTACTTATATGTCCAAATGTTAGTACTATAGAGTTAGAATGTAGTACAACAAACTCACACATGTGATCCACACATGCTCAGCACAATCCAAACATGCACAGGACAAGATCCACACATGCACACAGTGATTCACAAAAATGCACACAATTTACATTTTCACAACACAAAATTTAAAAAAGTATTTTTTGATGCATACACAATTATATCTTAATTTATAAACTACCAGTAGTCTTAGAACTTTACAGCATTTGTGCGTGGATTTTTGAGACTCTTCCTGGTGTTACTAATGCGCAAATGCATATGGTTCTTATGCTGTGCTTGTGTGGATCTTGTCCTGTGCATGCATGGATCTTGTTTTGTGCACATGTGGCTCACATATATGTGTTTTTTCTATATTAGTACTCCTAAAAATTTGTTAAATGTTTTGTTCATTTATCTTTTTTGTAGACACAGTGTTTAATAACCTTCTGTCTAAATCGTTGACTTTTAAAACCCTTTTTTTATCTGAGAATGTTCTCCAAATAACAAACAAAAAACCAAAAAAATCTTTATATATTAAAAGAATTTATTCAAATTACGTAAAACTAAATTATTGATAATAAGCCCACAATACAGAGAAAGGGTCAGCTCTGGACCACAGCTCAGCGTTAGTCCTTTTAGAGTGCAGACAAAAGTGTTGCCCTTAGAAAAAGACTTCCCCCCTATTTATCCTCAAGTAACACCATGTTATGGTGTTTTCTGTATGCATCAGCCTTATCTGTGTGCAACAGAAAGCTGAACTTCAGAATCTCTAACTAGTTTCCCTACACATCTAAAAGTGCCGCTGTCAGCAGACACAACCACCAACGTTTCTAAATAAGGAAACAACAGCAGCTGTGTCAGTCATTGTATATTAACATAGAGCAAAAAGTGTTCAAAGTGGAAACGTGCTCTGGTTTAGTTTTTTAATCTACATAGAGAATTCTATACTGGAAGCCAGTTAAAGTAATGTGATTTATTTAAAGATTAACTTGCACTGTGAATTATTCTTCTGATCAATCTTGGGGGTGAATGTAATTGGAATGGTTTCATTTAGAATGAGAGATGCATTAATAACTGCAAATGATTGGGTAGAAAAGGGGGAGTTAGTTTGAATAATTCTGCATACTTCAGAATGGATCGAAGTGGGCTGTAAGGAGGGAATAACGAGGATCTGGATGGGTGAGTGGATGACGGGAATTCTAGAGGTATGAGTAACATAGAGTGAAGCAGAGTAACTTAAATTGGAGGAGCAAGAGCACCAGAAAAACAATCTAGAAATAAGTAAAAAGTTCCTTAAATTAAGTATATTTACTCTTAATTTGAGGAGGTAAATGAGATAGCTTGCCAATGGAATGAGTTTTTTTTTTCTTAAAATAAGATACTTAGATAATATGAACTTTAAATAAGACAATGCAATTGTGTTTTCTAATTTTAAGTGTAAATTGTCTTGTTCCATTGGCAAAATGTCACTTTATCCCCTCTATCAAGGAACAAATGCACTTAATTTAAGAAATAATTACTCATCTAGATTTCGATTTTTTTCCAGTGAGGGGAGGTGAGTTTGTCAACAAAACAAACACAACTTTCACATTCTTTTATTATAAATCTGATAGATAGGCTGTCTATTTGAAGTTCTGGACAGAGGCCTCTACCACAAAGCAGGATTACTGGGTTAGTGAGACAATTTCAGCCTCAAACCTGACATTTCAGTACTTTGATGCACCGTTTGTGAAGTTCAGCAGTCAAAAATTAGGAACAACTTTTATAGTTATTTAGCGTATTTTAAGAGAAGAATTAGAGGTTTATTTTTTTCCGAGTCATTTTTTCACTATTCTTTCATTTAAAGAAATCTTACTTTGTTTAATAGATATTTAGTCTGTTGAATAAATATTTAGCTAAAAACTAAATATTTAGGTTGAAAATTAAATATTAAGTTTGTTAAATAAATATTTTGCTCCAAACTAAATATAAAGCTCCAAATAAATTTATTTTTTTAACAAAGTAAATATTTAGCCAGCTTGGTGCTGGCTCTGTCATGATGGGATTCAGATTTCTAACCCACATGCAGAACACAACGGAGGCAGATGAAAAGTTTGACTGTTTATCAAAACAAACACAATGTTATTAGAGATGCTGGGAAACAGATCCGGGACTGGTCAGAAGGGGTTCTCTGTAGAGAGGGACAGTTAGGTTAGCCAGGATGCGGTAGATCTTTGTCAGAGGAATTGTGCAAGTTTGTACCTGTGACGTGATTCAGGTTTAGCACCAGAGGGATGTAACCAGGTTGGTCCAGAGGCTTGAAGTTGGCAGAGGGCTAAGCAACGGCAGGACTCGACTTCAGACTATCAGTGTTCAGGTCCAGCGTTTCTTCCGATCCTCTTCTTGAGGGCGGGCAGGCAGGTTCAGACAGTTAGATTCTTCAGATGAGCTCCTGAGAGCCGGCAGGCAGATTTCAGCAGAGAAACTCTTCCAGAGTTCCAGGGTTCAGTCAGGTTTCTTCCTAAGAAGCAGAGAAGACAAAAACTGATTAGGTTCAGGTTCTGGTTTCAGGGGATTCAGAGAATCAGACAGGCTGGTTGGCTCAGGCTTCGCTAACCATAACTGGCTTAACACTCTGGCGCTGGGGTGTAGTCCTGCCATTGCTTATATCCTGGTCTCCTGATGAGCAGATGAGAAACAGCTGGTGAAGTCAGTTCCAACTTCCGGAGACCCAGAACGCCCTCTGGAGGAGAAAGGCAGACAGAACCCAGAAACCAACAGTAGGTGGCCGCCGACTGCGCCTCAGGAACAAGCTCTGAGGTGGCCGCCGACTGCGGCTCAGGAACAATCTCAGAGGTAACCGCCGACAGCGGTTCAGGAACAATGTCAGGGGTAACCGCCGACTGCGGTTCAGGAACAATCTCAGGGGTAACCGCCGACTGCGGTTCAGGAACTGTCTCAGAGGTAACCGCCGACTGCTGTTCAGGAACAGACTCTGAGAAGGCCGCCGACTGCGGCTCAGGTACAGTCTCAGAGGTAACCTCCGACTGCGGTTCAGGAACAGGAACAGATGAGACCGCCGACTGCCGCTCCTGGACAGGAACAGAGGAGACCGCCGACCGCAGCTCCTGGACAGGAACAGAGGAGACCGCCAACCGCGGCTCCTGGACAGGAACAGAGGAGACCGCCAACCGCGGCTCCTGGACAGGAACAGAGGAGACCGCCAACCGCGGCTCCGGATCAGGAACAGAGACCACCGACTGTGGCTCCGAATCAGGAACAGAGGAGACCGCCGACTGTGGCTCCGAATCAGCAACAGAGGAGACCGACTGTGGTTCCAGAACAGGAACAGAGGAGATTGGGGGTTGGGTGGATCTCATCCCATGCATATGTCCGTTGCATGCACTCATTTAACATAGCCCTACGTAATCCTACAATAACATGATATTTACAGTTGGTTTATTGAAAATGCTTTTCAGTAAAAGTCAACAGTAATAACTCCAATAACAAATTATAATTTTTCAAAATTTATTTATTAAAAAATGCTTAACAATTCCTGTAATGAATGAATAGCACAATTAAAGAAATAATCTCTCATCTAAACATCCCTCACTTAACAATAAAAGTTAACAATAACTCTCAACTCCCAATAACAGATGATACTCAGCCTCAGTAATGAACGAAATAATGTCTGTTCTGTAGGCTATTGGAAAAAATTTATTAACAAATGAGCTAATTTGTTAGTTCCCTGTTTTGACAAAGTACTGTGTGATCGAGCTAGGACTACTTTAACCTCGTACAGCTGTTTTGTGTTTCTCGGTGTCCTGGTGGCTTTTCAGATCCCTTGCACCTCCATTGGACACAGCAGACAAATGTGCCTGCTATGCACACTGTGCACAAGGCCTCCCATTTGTCTCAACCCGGTCTGAAAGCGGGGAAACTCTTTCATAAATCGTCGGTAAACATACATTTGCGCTTTTACATGTTGTTGGCTTACTGACAGCCACGCTATCTATCTCCAGATTAAGAACAGGGCTGCCCGTACTGACGCGGTTCAGGGATTACGGCACACACAGCGTCGTGCGCAGTGCCCTAGTGCCTGTAAATTGAATGGTCCAATGAAGGTAAGTGACACTCGATAGTTAAGGAGTTAGTGCTTAGGGGGCGGTTTGGGATTCACAAAGTGACTAAACAGAAATCAGTGTCCCGTCTTAAACCGTAGGAGTTGTATAGAAATCCCCAGGCTTTTGCTCTGGTAGTTCACTTCAGCCATTCGGCAACTGAATTTGCACATTCGCTAAATATTGAGCTACCACCAAGCTAGCTAAATATTCATTTTGTTAAATACATACTTGATTTGGAGCTATATATTTTTTTAGCAAAATAAATATTTAGTTTATTTTAGCTAAATATAGATATATATATATATTTATATATATATATATATATATATATATATATATATATATATATATATATATATATACAGGTGCTGGTCATAAAATTAGAATATCATGAAAAAGTAGATTGATTTCAGTAATTCCATTTAAAAAGTGAAACTTGTATATTATATTCATACATTACATACAAACTCATATATTTCAGATGTTTATTTTGTTTAATTTTGATGATTACAAATGACAACAAATGAAAATCTCAAATTCATCATATCAGAAAATTAGAATATTGTGAAAAGGTTCAAAATTGATGGCCCCTGGTGCCACACTCTAATCAGCTAATTAACTCAAACCACCTGCAAAAGCCTTTAAATGGTCTTTCAGTCTAGTTCTATAGGCTACACAATCATGGGGAAGACTGCTGACTTGACAGTTGTCCAAAAGACGACCATCGACACCTTGCACAAGGAGGGCAAGACACAAAAGGTCATCGCTAAAGAGGCTGGCTGTTCACAGAGCTCAGTGTCCAAGCACATTAATAGAGAGGCGAAGGGAAGGAAAAGATGTGGTCGAAAAAAGTGTACAAGCAAGAGAGATAACCGCACCCTGGAGAGGATTGTGAAACAAAACCCACTCAAAAATGTGGGGGAGATTCACAAAGAGTGGACTGCAGCTGGAGTGAGTGCTTCAAGAACCACCACACACAGACGTATGAAAGACATGGGTTTCTGCTGTCGCATTCCTTGTGTCAAGCCACTCTTGAACCACAGACAGCGTCAGAAGCGTCTTGCCTGGGCTAAAGAGAAACAGGACTGGACTGCTGGTGAGTGGTCCAAAGTCATGTTCTCTGATGAAAGTAAATTTTGCATTTCCTTTGGAAATCAAGGTCCCAGAGTCTGGAGGAAAAGAAGAGAGGCACTTCATCCACGTTGCTTGAAGTCCAGTGTAAAGTTTCCACAGTCAGTGATGGTTTGGGGTGCCATGTCATCTGCTGGTGTTGGTCCATTGTGTTTTCTGAGGTCCAGGGTCAACGCAGCCACATACCAGGAAGTTTTAGAGCACTTCATGCTTCCTGCAGCTGACCAACTTTTTGGAGATGCAGATTTCATTTTCCAACAGGACTTGGCACCTGCACACAGTGCCAAAGCTACCAGTACCTGGTTGAAGGACCATGGTATCCCTGTTCTTAATTGGCCAGCAAACTCTCCTGACCTTAACCCCATAGAAAATCTATGGGGTATTGTGAAGAAGAAGATGCAATACACCAGACCCAACAATTCAGAAGAGCTAAAAGCCACTATTAGAGCAACCTGGGCTATCATAACACCTGAGCAGTGCCACAGACTGATCGACTCCATGCCACGCCGCATTGCTGCAGTAATACAGGCCAAAGGAGGCCCAACTAAATTCTGAGTGCTGTACATGCTCATACTTTTCATGTTCATACTTTTCAGTTGGCCAACATTTCTATAAATTGTAATCATCAAAATTAAACAAAATAAACATCTGAAATATATGAGTTTGTATGTAATGTATGAATATAATATACAAGTTTCACTTTTTAAATGGAATTACTGAAATCAATCTACTTTTTCATGATATTCTAATTTTATGACCAGCACCTGTATATATATAAAAAACTAAATATTCCATTTGCAAAGTAAATATTTAGCTCCAAACAAAATAACTAGTCGAAGAAGTATGATTTTTAGAAATAAGTGAATGACATAGTGAAAAAATGACTTGGAAAAAAATTAAGCCCTTATTTTTCACTTAAAATATGCTAAATAACACATTTTTGACTGCGCCCTATACGGTACCACCAAGCTTGATTCATCCTTAGTGGGGCTAATCACCATGGTAACACACTGTGAACAGCAACCCTGCTCCGGGGCGTGCTAGGTTTCAAGATTTATCTGAATCCTAGAAATCACTCCACCCAGAAGCTAATAAGCTGTTCGGGAAACAATTACGTTTCCTTTCATTGAAGAAACAATTTAATTCAGATGGGAAACTATAACTTCAAGAAAACGACATCACAATAATGGAACTTTTAAACCAAAAAGCAGTTCAAACGAAATACTGTCTCGAAAAATTTAACAGTTCAAACTTTATTCATTTATTTTTTTCCTCCTTTTTGACATCACAAGCGTTTACTATTCAGTATTTGTTCTCTCCTGTATAATGTCTGCATACACCACTGGCATTCTCTTGTTTCAACTATAATTGTTATATAAAACTATATATATATATATATATATATATATATATATATATATATATATATATATATATATATATATATATATATATATATAAGTAAATAAAAATCAGAGGTCAGGATCACTATAACAATATGAGCAATACCGGTTTTGTGGACTGGTATATATAGTACCAGATTCTACAAGAGTGTGTTGGCAGTGCGACCCGCAGCTGAACACTGCATAAAAGAGGGATTCATGCCACCACAGGTGAGATATTTACTGTATTTCTGTGAGAATTAATCTAAAATGCATTCTAAAAATCTTGCTGTTAAATACACAAGTTGGCAAATATATATATATATATATATATGCATACTTTATTGTTTGCTGTAATGTTACTATGAAAAGGAGAATTGATCGTTTTAAGCAAAGACTTTCTATGAGACTAAAACAGAAATGCTATGAAGTGTAATTTAAGAAGAAATTCTATTAACATATTTCTGTATATTTAGGGCTTTTCCCCATTTTAAAAGCAGAGAAGATTTTTACCTTTTGTCCCGCTGAGTTGTGACACAGAAATCAGGATGATTTCACTCAGACTGATCACTTCTTTTATTTAATATAATGCAGTTATGGCATCAGCTTCCAGCTTTATTGTTACCCATATCTTATTGAATTAAAAAGTCCGACTAACAAGTGAAATTAAGTTTTAGTACAGATGCAGTCTGTGTTAAATGACCCTGATGTGTAACTAACCTGCTTATTTACACAGTCAGCAATCCTTTCCCATGTCATTTGTTATCCCTTTGAATCAGCCACCTTGTTCGGCTTTTCATTGAGAATGTTTTTCCTCTTCACATTTCTGTAAGATGAGTTTTTGTTCCTCACAGAAGTAATATGGCGCTCTCCCTTCTGCACTTATGATTGTGATTAGTCTGCGACCTTGAACGCCGCCCTTTATACGCATGCTTTCACAGGTTCATGATTTGTCAAAGCTGAATGAATTTGTGTGATGATTACAAGCTTCGTGGTACCACCGATCCTGATCGCCATTGTTGTGGACTGGCTAAACTGGATAGGATGGAAGTAGTCCTGCAAGGTTGAGTTTGCTTTGTGGTACAAGCCTCTGGTATCCAATCTGTCACAGGGCAACACAGAGACTAAAAAAAAACATAAAATCATAAAAAAAGATGCACTCACACTAAGGACAATTTGGAGATGCCCATTAACCTAACAGTCATGGTTTTGGACTGTGGGAGAATAAGTACCCACAAATGCATGGGAGAACATGCCAACTCCATACAGAAAAAACCCAGGCAGGGAATCGATCACAGAACCTTTTAAGGCAACGGGGCTACAAAGTGCACCACTGTTCACCCCTCAACTAAGAACGTAAAAACTTTAATCATACCCAAAAGTTTCCTTGTTGTAAATCAAATTTAAATTGATATATGTGTTATGTCTTTTCTGCACAGAACCGAACATCATACTTCCTATTGGATTAGTTGCTGGTGGGGTGACTGTTCTCTTTATCATCACGGTCACTATCTACTACATCTTCAAAAAAGACCTTGTGCTCTTGGCCAGAAGGACGTTTTCATCCCTCTATACAAATCAAGGTAACATTTCTCATAATTACAGTTTGATCATTATGTTATGACTCAGTGTAAACTAGACATATTCAGCTTTTTTTCCCTCTAAACATTAGTTTTCGGGTGGGTACACTCAAAAAAAAAACTTGTTCCCAGAACGTAATAAAATTATGGAAATAATTTCCACCTAAATAAAATGCATTAATTTAGCGAGAAGAAATTTTGTTAAGTGAACAAAGGGTAAATATGTTGGGTCAACGTGTTGTATTTGCATTACTATTACTTAATTACCAGGGTTCAGTCCAACTAGATAAATATAGGTAAATGTAACATACTAACATAATTTTCTTAAGCCATTTAAACTTGTATGATAGGATTATTAGGTACATAATTTAATAGGGTAGTTACAACTACTTTTCAAAATAGTACAGTACATGAATTTATTGTGCTGAGCCCACAAAACAAAGTTAGGTAAGAGATTAACTTTATCATATGAAAATGAACATAAGTAATTATTCACAAAATAAATCATTTTTAACGTATACATATTCAGCTATTTAAAATGTACATGTCAGCCTATATACCCCCAGCTGGTGTCAAGTTTGGAAAAGAAAAACGAACTAAATTGGATTTGTTGAAATCACTTTACTTTAAAAATGACTACGTTGTGAAAATACAACAAACAATACAGCCTGAAACAGTGTCCAACATCATGTCTGTAGACAAACAAAAGTTGTAACTCCTGAGTTAGGAAATTGGAGCCCCCTGTCATTAGGTGTCTATATTTAGAGCTTTCAGCAAAGCCCTTTACAAAGTTATACGCAGAAAGTGGTCCTGTCAACTGAGTGCAAAGACCAATATTTGAGAACAACCAAAATACAGCATAATGCATCCATATCAAAATAGTTTTCTTTAGAAAATAACAATTTGTTTTAAAACCTTACCTTTGCATAAAGAAACATTTCAAAACATTCTATTTTGTAAACCCAAAATAGCAACAGGATGTATTAAAACACAAACACAGCTTTCAGTTCAGTAACTACTCAAATGGCTTCAAATGCCTTCCCATTAGAGTAACTCCAAACCTGTAGTTTACTCTATTGAGGGTGACTAACACGCAAGTAGAGTTTTCAGTGTTTGAGTTTTTTTTGAGAGTATGTTTCCATCAAGCTCCACGATGATCTTCTGCAAAGCTTCAAAGGTGTATCTGAGCTCTGGCGGGTAGCTGAGGTTAAGCGCATATACAAGCGCAAACAACATGACCACAGCAAGTGGCACGTTTCCGAGCCCATCCAGAACTATACCTACATCTTCCGGTCCATCACCTGGCTCTGCACCTTCCTTGCGAATGACAAATATTCCAAATGTCGTCTCCATCACTGCAGCTTCACTGCTCCCACAATCTGTGTTCTTCACAGAAAAAAGGGGGAAATAGAGGATATACATGTAAAGATATGTTATACTGGTCCCATTTTTAAACACACTAAATTACATACCATGTATTCTTTCACAAGGTTCTTGGGCTCTTCATTCAGGTACACACACAGGGCTTTGATGATTCACTCTCTTTTGACATCAATGGCGTCAGTCTGAGTATGTAGGACAATAAATTAAAGATAAAACATTTTAATCAACTGGTAGAAGATTTTACAAACAAAACTTTAAATAATACATTCTTCAAAATGTAAAAATCATTGACAATTTTTATGATATATGAACTTACAATATCCATGGGTGCATTGGTTTTATGTACCAGCAAGACATTTTATCATAGAAATATGTCAAATGTAAGCATGTGGTCCCAGGAAACAGAGCCTACCATTGCAACATCAGTGGACATTGTCACATCTGCCCAAGGTTAAAATTTTATCAGATCCTTCTTCATAAAAGTACATTACACCCCTCTCCATCTAGTTTTATTTCTCTCCATCCCTCTGAAACTTTCGCTTTAAATTTCAAGCATTAAGTTTAGAATATTGAATCGGTACAGGTTTGACAATTTCTATTTTATTCTATTATCATACCTTGGTGATGGGTATCATGATGCTCCTTATCTTTCTTCCTTGAACGTCGCCTTTCTTGCCAAACACCCTCATCAAGTTTGAAGAATGAGCATCCAGCTGGGAGAAGAACTTTGACAGCAAACTGATGGTTGTAATCCTCTTAAATTCAGCAGTTAGCTTAAACAGAAAGGGTACACAAAAGTAAATTTAACTATCATAGCATTGAAATGACCGACTAGTTTAACAATTGTCATCTACCACCAAATCCTAAATCAGCTTACAAGTTATTTCCAAGGCTAGCCCACATTTTGTTGGCTGATATAAATCACACTGTACATATTTCAATCAAAGTTAATGAGTGCTGTGCATTTATTCAAGATGGAAATAGGATGATTAATTACTAATTTAATTTATGAGGCAAACAATGCAATCACATTCCTAAAATGAAAAAGCATTTCTGAAAATACTTTTTCATTTTCAAAATTTACATTTCAAATTTATTTTTGGTATGTATTTTCTGGGGTACATTTTCAAAAAATAAATCTCAAATGTATTTTTCTTTTTTATTTTAATTAAGTAAAATGATGAGAAGCATTAAAGAAGAAATTTAAAATGCAAACAGGATGATTGATTACTAATTTCATTTATGAGTCAAACAATGCAGCCACATTCTTAAAATGAAAAAGCATTTCTGAAAATGCTTTTTCATTTGAAATATGGTAACGATTTGCTTTCCTAGCTGGGCTACAGCACAACAGTACATTTATGGTAGCACACATTTGTTCCCTCGTCAACAAAGTGAATAAAATCTGACTGTGGAAAGCTCCATAGTGCGAAGAACTACTGTGTTGATGTTAGTAGCTGGATGAGCTAATGCTACGTGGAGTTGACATAGAAACCCCGCCAAGGTGCCGAGATGCCGTGGTAGTTTCCAAACTTAGAGCTAATGACTGTTAAGTGCCGAGCTTTCTGCGGACTCCACGTGAAGCCAAGATTCGGATTGGGGGGAAATTCATCACCACTATTATTATTAATGTAGCCTATGTGACTGGAGCCTTTTAGCTGCAGCTACATTCACCAAACGCAGGCAATTATCCCCCACCAGCCATGCCTGCATCAGCTCTTAGCTCATTTTGTAAATGAATCCGCACGCGTTGTCAACCATGCCGTCGACCTCAGGATGCTAGCTTGTAAGCTTAGTTAGCTATGAGCATGGCGACAGTGTGATATATTAATGCACTCTAATAAAACGCCCAGTAACAAATAAATAATCCAAAATGCAAAAGAGGACAATAACTAACTGTCTATAACATGTCTGCTGCCGTATTGTTTTCTGTTCGATGGATGATAAAAGATTAAACTTACCTTCTTCCACACTTGAAATTTCTTTTCAAAATGTCTACTCCTTCTGCCAGCCAGAGTCGGGGACTCACTCACCTTTGACCGTGGCCTTCAAGAGAGGGGAATGTGCTCATTACTGCCACCTACTGCTTTGGAGTGTTATTGATTTGCAATCTTAACCCATTAGAATTAGGTTGTTTTAACATAAATTATTCAAGTAAATTTTAAGTTGTTGCATTTTATGCTAAATCTACATGATTTAAAACTGTTCAACCACAAAACATGATTTTATATAGTAGAAGCTACATGTTAGACATAAGATAAGGTAACAGACACCCAGTTTGCTTTTTTTGAGTGTATGAGTTTGGCTCTAGCTTCCCCCTCACCAATGTTGAATTATTTTTGGGGAAGAACACTAGGGGACTTGATTCAGAGTTGAGCTACCTTATTGATACAACCTATTCTGTAAGTCATCATCCTAAATATTGCAAAGCCAAATAGGATATTGAGGATATCTTCTTTTTAGTTAAGTCACTTTCTCAAATGGGGCCAAGTTGGGGTTGTGTGCACATATGTTTACTTTTTCCCATTTTCGGATATTTTTGTACAATTATGTTTTGATGTTTAAAGATAGCAAGATTGTTACAGTAAACATCTAACGAGAACTTTTTACCACCAGGTTTAGATGGTAAGCTGTATGATGCCTATGTGATTGGCCCCAATCTCGGTGTCTCTGGATTCAATGAAGAAGGGGAGAAGTTCGCCCTGCAAACATTGCCTGAAGTCTTGGAACAGGCCTGCGGCTACAAACTCTTCATAGCAGGCCGTGACTGCCTGCCGGGGCAGGGTATGTCTAAAGTTTTTGCTCTTTCCCTTACATGAGGGTTAACCCTAGTTCTTACATTGGTGAATGAGAAACCTAAACCTAAGGTCAGCAGATTTAATATGTCTTGACTTAACTTGCTCCAGGACCGACGTTCATTGTGTACTTCTAGTACTACGTAATAAAAAATGGCGGCAATCTGTCCCTGTATAATGGTATTGCTTTGTCCAGGTCCTCATCTGGCTGAACTGCTTAGGTTCACTTGGTTTCCATTTCACTCATTACTTCTCTGTCAGCCTTGGTTTGTTAGTTCCTGTTTTCTTGGTTTTCCATTTGTTGTCCTTTGCTGCCCTCTTGTGTCCTCTTTCCCTAGCTCTGTTTTCTGCTCTGCCCTCACCTGTTTTCAATCCCCTCGTTAGCCCTCTCTTTGTTTCTGTCCCCTTTAAAAGCCTCCCTCTTCAGTTCCTGTTTGCTGAATCCTCGTCTAAGGTCTGTCTGCGTACCTCGTCTCTCCCTGGCTCCTAGCGTTTGGTTTTCCCCTGATGTCTCCCTGGTTCTGGTTTGTCTGTTATTTCTGTTGGATTTTTGATTCCTGCCTCAGTTCCTGTAAACATTAAACCCACCTAAATTCACCTCTGCCTACTTGCCTCTGCATTTGGGTCCTTAAACCAACACCACATCCTGACATTCTCTTACTGGTTTGCGTTGTGCTTGTCTTGATTCCTTTTCACAGTTAGTTACTTCCTGCAGATTTAGCATTAAATCGTCTTACAGCTTACCTTGTAGCATGAAAAATACAGTTAGTAGGCTACTACGTGGTAAAGGTTCGTGTGAAGCATATAATTCTGTACACACTCCTTTACCCCTGGGCCATTATTTTCTATCATTTGTTTTCTACAGCCATCATGGACTCTGTGAACGAGAACCTTCAGGCCAGTCGCAGAGTTCTCCTGCTATACACTGCCACCACTTTCATGGGCAAAGGAAACACAAACAGCAGCAGTAATATTATTACAAAGATCAGTGAGGGAGGCGATGAAATCGAAAGCATGAACAATGAGAGCAGCTGCACTGTTGATGTTGATGATGGCGATAAAGACTTTTTGGACACGAGGCAGCAGCTGGAATGTGTGGCAGCCATGTACAAGGCACTTCTAGAGGGATCCATAAAGGTAAGCAGGAGACTCGTTAATGTGAAAATCAAAAGGAAATTCCAAACTAGAGCTGAATAAAAGTTAAACAGAGAGATAATTCAGAAAAGTAATTTTGTTATAATTTAGTTACTGTCTAATAAAGGTCTGTCCTTACAGGTGGTTCTGGTGGAGTTGGAGGAAATCACCCCGGATCAGTTGGCCCTCTTCCCAGAGTCAGTGCGCCATCTGAGAAAGAAGCAGGGTGCTGTGTGCTGGTGGAAGGCTCTGCAAACAAGGCAAAGATGGAGGATGTGTTCAAATTTGAGAAAGGATGAGGAAAGTGGTGAAAAGGTCTCAAAAGTCTCACCATCCCTCTCTCCTTCCTCCAGATTTTGGAAAGAAATTAGGTACCATATGCCAGTTAGAGGCAAAGGGGCTTTTTTCAAAGAGAAATCTGCCTTGTTGAACTTAGACAGGTAGATGTGAAAGATCGAGTGAAATGTTTAAAGAGCTAAAGACTTAGAAAACAGTTACAATGATAACATAAATACATTTACAACTATGCAAATTATACAATAAATTCAATTCAATTTAGTTTATTTATATAGCGCCAAATTCACAACAAATGTCATCTCAAGGCACTTTACAGTTCAACCAGATCATACAGTCAAATTGATACAAAGTTTTCTATCTAAGGAAAACCAGTTGATTGCATTGACTCATTGACTCATTGACTCAAATACAATCCCTCACACTAAGCATGCTTGTAGTGACAGTGGAGAGGAAAAACTCCCTTTTAACAGGAAGAAACCTCCAGCAGAACCAGGCTCAGTGTGAGCGGCCATCTGCCGAGGCCGACTGGGGTTCAATGAGACAGAAGCAGCGATACAAAAAGCAGCTGTAAAAGGCGGCCCCGTCCAGGAAACACACAGCCAGGCAGACGAGCTCCAAGGCAGCTCCCATGCCAGAAATAAAATAAATAAATTGGCACGTGACATTTTGCTTGTACCTGTTATACTAGAACTTAACTTTTTAATTAGTTAAGGGTTCAAAACTGTACTAAAAACAAACAAAAAAATCAGTGTAAAATAAGCAGAAGATATTATTTTCAGTTAGCAGTTTATGTGTGATGTGTGATGATCGGTGGACTATCCAAAGTTTTTCTTTAAACGTGTCCTAATGATTTTTAAATGTTGGTGTAAATTAGAAAAATGGGAAATATTATGCCAGATCACCACAAAACAAGCTGTAATCACCGCTCTCACCATAAAAACAGCACTGTCGCTATGGTAACTGCCAGACACAGCCTACAGATGCTGTTAGTGAGTCTTTCAATCATGACAGTCATTGTAAGAAGAGCATATCGAGCTACAGATGTAGGTGGAGAGCAGCTTATGGTGTTGACGAAGGTGAGAAAAACGGCATTTTCATGAGGAAATATTTCACCACAGTAAGCTACTAAGATAACAAAGGAACATCAAACCAAAGTTTATTTAACTATGCTGGTGAAGATTATCAGTCATACAGGTCATAGTAATTCCAAAAAATTAAAATTAAAAACAATGCACTGGACTCTGTTTGCAATTTGAAGACAATTCGCTTCCCATCCACGAAGCTTTTCAGTTCAAAATGTCAAGAATAGAGTTGAGTTCAAGGTTTTATACAGTAGCCCAACTTAGCCTTGTTTTTGTTTTGAAAACATACAAATTGAAACGGATGAAGGGAAGGGACTAACTCAACTGCTGGATTGTAGGTTTTTGAAAGCTGGAACCTGAATCCACCCCCTCTGTTTAAGGTTAGTTTTTCTTTCTTAACATAGATGGCTTCCTTCAGGCCCCTCTCAAACCACCTACTTTCTTTTTTCAAAATGTGAACATTCTTGTCCTCAAATGAGCGTCCTTTGTCCATGAGGTGTGGATGTACCGCACAGTCTTGTCCAGGCGAGGTAGCTCTTCTGTGTTGGGCAATGTGTCTGCAGAGAGGATGTTTGGATTCTCCAATATAAGGATCAGAGCATTCCTCATTGCAATGAACTGTATATACCACTCTGTTCATATACGGTATGGTCTGGGGGTTTTGTCCTTAGGATGCACTAGCCTCTGTCAAAGGATCTTGTTAGGTTTGAAATGTACTGGGATTTTGTGTTTGGAGAAAATCCTTTTGAGTTTTTTAGAGACTCCAGCGACATATGGTATGGCAATGTTTTTGAGTACAATCGGTATTTAACGGTGTACTGGTTGTCAGTCAATTTTCAGCAGTTGAATCAACATTCATTATGCAACTGATATGTTAACGACGTCTTTAAATGAAAATGAAAAGTATTCAGCGTTGATTTCTCAGTGTTGGCTGTTGAACCTGTTTTATATTTTGTGCCATATGCTGAAGTTCAACGCAACAAGATGGTACGGAGCAGATCGCACCGGAAACTAAGTACTGCTATGAAACAAAATAAAACATCCGGTTAATTTTTAAACTAATAAATAATTTTCTTTGATAACATGTCCCGACTTCAATAGTCACCATAATGGTCCATCAAAAAGCTTCAGAATGCCCTATTTTTTTTTCTACAACTGTTGTAATGTATATTTATTTATATTATATAATTGCTAAAATGTGCATATTTTATCTTTTTTATTTAATATTTATACTTCAACTTAATTATAGCTATTTTTACAATTTCTCACCTTTACATTGGGCTGCAAAACTAATTTAATTTCATGTTAGCGTGTTGAAAACTCCTTGAAATCTTGAAATGCATATTGCTTTCATTTCTATCATTTTAATATTTGACTGTGTTGATATTCTTAACTAAAGGGAAAACAGAATAGGGAGGAAAAGGCAGTAAAACCAAGCTCCTCTTTGGGCCAAGCAGCAAGAGAAAAAGTGAGGAGAGAGATTGAGAGAGAACAGGTTCTACAAAAGGAATATGTTTTAAAAGTAAATTGTTTATTGCATGTTATTTGACTTATGGTGTAAGATTATAATAGAAAAATGTTTAAGCACTATCATTAACATAATTATGTAATAGGGCTTGAGTGGCTATTTTAAATACTAAAGTAAATATTAATGTTGCGCCGATGCCATTTTTTGGCCCCGATACCTGGCTGTGAAGTATCGGCCGATAGCAATACCATACCGGTAACATCTGTTTGAAATTGATGAGTGTGTGTGTGTATGTATAGATTGGCCCCAATCTATATATACACAATATATAAAGAACTAAATACTACTTGGATGTAAAATAATTGCCATCATGGCTAGCTAATCAAAAGTCATAATGTTGTTGCTTTTGCTCATTAAGACTTGGAAAATTGCCAGATTTAAATAATGGAATTAAAAACATCTTTTAATCTTTGGGGTATTTTTTGGTGTCTGGGTACGGCACTGCTTGTGTCACTATATTTTGGTTGTCGAAAGCTGATGACAATTCTTAATGCGTTTTAATCTTTTTTTCGCCCTGCAAGATGTTTTCTTTTGCTGTCTTCTTCATATTATACTGTTGATTTAACTGTGCAGTAGCATGCTGCTAATTGTCAGTCTTTCTTAACAGCTGCAGAACCAAATTACCAATCTATAATTCCATGTTCTATTCTGCTCTCCTCTCTCTTTCTCTCTCTTCCTTTGTTTATATATATATATATATATATATATATATATATATATATATATATATTAGTGCTGTCAAAATTATCGCGTTATTATCGCATTAACGCGAGGCCATTTTAATGGCGATAATTTTTTTAACATGAGATTAACGCTATGTGGTTTTATGGTACAATTTTCCAAGTACATCCCGCTGCAGCCTGCGGGAAGGCGGGGCTATTTTCCCCCAGTCTATGCATTTTCCATAGGCTTCGAGAGCAGAGGTCCTCAAGGAAAAAAGACGCTCATACACTGGGTGACGCTAGTGCCTTTTCTTTAAGCCCCACCACCAACAAACAAGTTGAGTGTCTGGTAACTAGTAGCAACCTGAAATAACTGAGAAAACAGATTACTGAGGTGAAATGGAATCTGCTACGGCACTCTTGCTGTCTGTGTACGCCACAGGTCAGTATCGTGTGTGTGGGTGGCTGTGTGTGTGTTCTCATTTTGGTTAAGAGGCTGAAAAGTAACTTTCTAGAGCATAGACTACCTCCATGATGTCGGTCTATTGATTTTGATGTATTGATTGAAAAGTGTTCATTATTACCTTGGTTAATTGACATCTAATGTTAACTCTACTACATTTTATAGCAGTAGGGTAAAATGCTTGTCTTTGTTCAAAAGACTGTATTAACTGTAAAGACTGTCTTTTACATCAGCCTGTTTTCAGGGCCTTTTTTTTGGCTACATATTTGTTATTTTTTGCTACATGCCTCCCCATCTTCTTGCCATATGTTTCTATGGCATAAATCAGTGTCTGTGACCTGTTTTCATTTAAAAAAAAAAACATTGGCACAAACCTTGCCTGTATGTATTTTTTGTATGTCATCGAGAGTATTTAAAGGAATAGTACACCCAAAACATGATTAGCCTTCATTTTCTACTCACCCCCATGCTGAACAACACTCTGGAGTACTTTTTTGGTATCTCAAATGCATCTGGAGATCTGGGAGGCTTCTTGCTGTCTGCTGACATTCAAATAATGGAGGTCTATTGTGCCCGAGACAGAAAGGTCCATAAAAGTCCACAAAAAACGTGTCAATATTCCTCCATACTGCTCGTCCAATGTATTCCAAGTGTCCTGAGTGGGTAGCATCCAGAATTTACTCGAAACGAAGTCATTTAGAATGTTTTTAGAGCATAAACAGTAGTGTATAGGATTTCCTAAAAGCGCGTTCACGAGTCTACAGAAACCGCGGCAGACCAAACCAGACGAAAGTGCGCATTCAGCTCGGCAAAGAACTCATGCTCTTCCTCAACACTGAAGTCCTCAGACATTTTTCTTTCGTTGTTTCTTTCTTTGCACAGGTAAACAGCACATTTCTTCTTCTACGCTTGCATTATCGGCAGAGCAGACGCTGAATGCGCACTTTCATCTGGTTTGGTCTGCCGGCTTCCGTAGCGTCATGAACGCGCCGGCGCGCGCTTTCAGGAAATCCTATACACTACTGTTTATGCTCTAAAAACATTCTAAATGACTTCGTTTCGAGTAAATTCTGGATGCTACCCACTCAGGACACTTGGAATACATTGGACAAGCAGTATGGAGGAATATTGACACGTTTTTTGTGGACTTTTATGGACCTTTCTGTCTCGGGTACCATAGACCTCCATTATTTGAATGTCAGCAGACAGCAAGAAGCCTCCCCGATCTCCAGATGCATTTGAGATATCAATAAAGTACTCCAGAGTGTTGTTCAGCATGGGGGTGAGTAGAAAATGAAGGCTAATCATGTTTTGGGTGTACTATTCCTTTAAATGATTTTCAATCAGAAAAAAAATGTGTGATTAAAATGCGATTAATCGCGAGTTAACTTAGGCATTGATGCGATTAATCACGATTAAAAAAATGTAATCGATTGACAGCACTAATATATATATATACACATATATATATATATATATATATATATATATATA